GAACTTTGGTATTCCAGAACCTCAGTGGGATAATTTTGGCAACACAGTGGAGGAAGCATTCAACAATCCTTTATTTGCCAAATTGCACTATCGCTTCAAGCAGGAGGAAGAGATTGGTCGTGTCATGCACCTTGTGTCGGAACTTGTTTGTGATTTTTTCATCAAGGTGCTTCCCAAGTGGGTTCTTGACCACTCGATCTTGTGGGAAGAGTTTATGATTTTGGATCCAGACACAAATCTCCCAGCCTACAAGACTTCAGAGGCCGCCTTACAAGCAGAAGTGAATCCAGAGAAGTATCATACACATTTTGCTATGAACTTCAAGAAATTCCGTTTTTCTGCAAGAATTGTGTGGTATTTGATTGACCGTGACAGGAATCATTTAGAGAGTTTTCTTCACAACTCCAACAGTAGATTTGTGCAACATGCATGCTATCAACTTCGTGAGTATGTTCAGGCGCGTGTTGCAGTTTCTGATCCCTTGTATGAGATGATCAAGAAGGAAGAGTTTGAACGCCAATACAATTCCAAGTTTTTGGAGGCGATTTCTTGCTCTCGTGTTGTAGTTGAGCCTGTAAGTTCAGGGACGTATGAGCCATCATCGAAGCTGAACTTAAAGGTACTACAAGACATCCTGAAGGGTATCTTCAAGATCCAGAAGGATGAGGAGCTTGCCAAAGAACGTGAGGAAGAAGAAGAACAGGCAGCTCAAAACATCTCATACCTGTTGGCAGATGATATGGAGCTTGATTTCGATGATGATAATGTTCCAGTATGGCGCTCCATTGTCGACAAGTATAGAGAAGGTGATCAGGTGCTACAGGGAGAAGCTGTGAAGATTACTCACCTGTTCAGGGATCAAAAGGACAATGAGAAGGCGACAGAAGCTTTCAGTTCAGAGAGGACAGATTTTTATGAGACCTCAGGACCTCTTCCAAGAACCATGGGAGAAAATCTTGTAGAGGACTTGCTCACCAAGGATGTTGCAGAACAAGCTTTTGATGCAGGTGAAGAAGTTCCTCCTTATACAAGAGTCTCCACTATCGCTGGTGGAATCTATACTGGAAGTAGGACACTTCTAGAAGATGAGGATATGGAAGAGGAAGTTCCTGAAGAAGATCCTGCAGTTGAACCTGAAAAGGAAGAAGAAATATTTGATGAGAATGCAGGTGTTTTTCCTTCAGAGGAACCAAAGATGGAAGTGGACCAGGAGGAAGCCAAGGAGGAGTCAACACCACACTTTCTGTCAAGAGAGATAGGTGAGGACTCGGCTGCATCGCACTTACCATCAGGCGAGATGGATGCTAACCTTGATGATACTCCACGTCTGCCGAAATCTAAGAAAAGCCGCCTGAATAAAATACCTGATCCTCATTTTCATGAAGAAGTTCAGGATGATGCAACCATGGAAGAGAAGAAAGAGGCGGTGGAGAAAATAAAAGAGGTCAGAGAGGATGATGGAGAGAAGAAATTGGAGGCTGAAATCCAGGAATCTTTTCCATCTGAAGTAGTTGTTGAAAAGGATACGACAAAAGTTGACAATACCTATGAGTTGCATACTTCACCTTTGAAGTTGCTTGGAGAGCTTACAGGAGATCCAGGTATTGGCCTTTATCAACAATGCTTCAGGGAAACTCACGCAAGATTGCTGAATCATGTTTGTTTCAGAAAAGGTGAGATTTCCCATCCTCATTATCAGTCGAGGATCAACGAGAATGATTTTGTTCGATCCATCCGTAATATCTGTCCAGTACCTCCACCTGATTGTTATGAACACGAACCAGAGCATGATTTGAAGAGATTCTTTATCAATGATGATCGCATCATTCATTTGGATGGCAAGTATCAGGTCGATCCAAAGGCCCTTGAAAGGGCAGAACATGCTCGAGAAGAATTGGAGGATACGAAGAAGGAACTTAAGAAGGAACTGGAATCATATGGTCCCAAGGGACCCAGTTGGGACTTTGTCACCTTCTATGAAGAGCTGTGCAGAAGGTTCCTCAAGGGAAGAATAGAAGAACCATATGGAACTAACTTATTGGCCAGCTCAGAGTCCTTGACATTTTTATCCTGGAACTATGGCAACATGGTTCGTGGTCAGAAGTACACCACACCAAGGTTTCTCCAAGGACTTGATAGTGCAATGAGGCCACGCAAACAGAGCGCCATGTCACTTCAGAATGAGCAATTTGAGAACAACCTTTTCTTCAACATGCTCTTCTTTTTACGTGCACATGTCGTGATTCTCCAGGAAGCTCATCTTCTTGTTCCTGCCAAGGAATTTATTGAGCAAAAGAATTGGACAGTTTGTTTCAATGATTGGGAGAATCTTGCAGTGATGGCTAGATTGGCACCAGGTGGATATGTCAAGATCATTGCTGTACATGATCAAGAACTTGGTCACTGTGAACAGCGTGATGTAACTTGGGCTATCTACGAGATTTGTTTTGAAGAAACAAGGCTTCGTCAAGATTTCAAGGATGCAGACTTTGAATTTGATGACTATGGTCCTGAGGACCAGCGTGTTCCACTTACTCGAGCGAACATGCATACCATCAGAGTCTGTAATTATCATGTTGACACACACCGTGCTGTGGATGCCCACCTACTGACAGGAGAACAGACAGCATTGATGCTTTATGAATGTTTTGTATATGAGGTGGACATCATTTCTGGTGATGCAAATAGTTTGGCCTACAGAATGTCTGGGTACAAAAGGCAGCCAATGGCTAACTATTATTATAGCACCATGCAGCATTGGATCCGCAGGTTTTCAGAAGCTCGTGTAAAAGCAGATCCTGGTATCAAAGCACCTATTCCCAGAACATTTTACAGTTCAACTTCACAGGTCCTCAAGAAGTGTGAAGTTTACTTTGATAAACTCTGGGAAGAATATTCTACTGTTGAAAAAGAAGAATACCAAGGATCACAGCTTGGCGATACATGTTTGTCTACCATTGTTGAATGGGGTCATTCAATGAGTGAAGAGGAATATGAAAATTCCACAGTGAGCACGAAGGAGTTCATCTGTAATTTTTCAGAGAACTTTGCTATGATTGACACGGAGGTTATGTGCTCAAGGCCCACTGACGAGGACAGTCATGGTCCAATGTTTATTTCACTCAGACCAGCTTCCTTTTCATCTGGAGACAGAAGACAGTATCGCATGGGAGCAACTCTTCATGAGGCGAAACTGCGGAGGAAGGAGAAACAGAAAGAGAATAAAAGGAAAGGAAGGCCGCCAACTTCTGATCAAGCAGCTTCATCGTCTGCAGCGGCACAATTCCTGAGCGAAGGCTGAAATTTAAATGATGGCTAGGAAGTGAAGATACTTCTGGTTACAGTTGATACTTTGCTTCCAGGCTTGACTTTAAGTTGCCAGGCTGAAGTTTTAATAAATTCTGGTTTGCAATGAGGAGAAACTTTTTATCAAAGAAGATACTCCTGCATTCCAGGTTTATACGCTTTAGCATGTAGATAGGTATGGACAGTTTTGCATAACTGATGATATCTATTACAGCCGCTTTTTCTGAGATGACCTCTAATGGACAACCAGTCATGGTTGATGATTAAGTCATTTCATGATTTGCAATTGTAGTGCAAGATTTTTGTTGTACATACATTTGCCGGTATCTCCTTCTTGTGTTTTGATGTGAATGTGAAAGAGAGTCCTTTTTGATGCAGTTTTATTTTGTCTGTGGATGAAAGCGGTCGAGACCACGTCACGAGAAGATTATTCCTCGGACCGTACGCTCCTTGCATTTTGCAAGGCATTTTAATTAATTGCATTTGTGCGGTCTTGAGTTTTTGTTTCCTTGTTACGCGAGTGTCGTTTGATTCTTTTATAGGTCTCTGTAGAGAAAAAGCCGCTTTCCCTTTTTAGTTTGATTTAGCTCAGGCCATAAAGAGCTAGTGAGCGCCGGTACATGGTATCTCCGCCTGTGAAAAATACAGTCTCCAGCCGAGGTACATTATCGTTTTGATTTTGTACTTGAGGTGAGTCAGCTATTGCTCCCTCACTGTATTTAGTAGCTTTGAGATTACCTTCTCTGTAGTGTGAAACACACTGGATTAGGTAAGTACATGGCACCGTAGTTTTCTTTTAAGTTGCTAGAGCTAGCTGGACTGTTTTAGCCTTGCAGTAGAAAAAGAGTGTGCGACATACGCAATCAGCTAGGAGTGGACATGAATCTTGTGCCTGCTGAAAAGTAGAGCCTACCTGTACAGGGTTCCACTCCAACAGCCGATATAGTGTGTCCATACTTGACTGCTTCAAGGCTCAAAGAGCAAGAGGATAAGACTCTGCGCATAAAAGACACTAGCGGTCTGCACCTCTACCGTGTACGCCCTAGTCCCTCTTTCCCCCCCCCCCCCGCGGTTCGACTCCCCCCTGCGCGCGGTGAGCGGGACCACCAAGCAGCTGCAGCACACCAAGCATCTGCGCCCAGCGCAGCAGCGGCAGCAGCAGCAGCACCAGCAGCAGCAGCAGACCACCCAGCGGCGGCAGCAGCAGCAGCAGCATACCCATACCCAACGCCGCGGCAGCAGCAGCCGCAGCAGACCACCCAGCGCCAGCAGCAGCAGCAGCAGACGACCCGGCGCCTGCAGAGCACCCAGCGCAGCAGCGCCCAGCGCAGCAGCGGCAGCAGCAGCACCAGCAGCAGCAGCACCAGCAGCAGACCACCGGAAGCCCGGTTAGCTTTCGTTCACCCCCTCTGGCCTCAAGTGTGGAAGCTGTCAGAACACGGCTCCGTAGACATGTGTATGTGCATCCATGTGTGTGGTGAAGCGGATGTGTGGGGGTGGAGAAAGTAATACTGACACCGCATGGCCTTGGGCAAAGTCAAAAGGATTGCCCACGAAGGGCAAGGATGTCTTATAATGGTCAGTGTTGTGAATCTTTGATATTCTATGTTTGGCTCGGGCAGAACATAAGTATTAGAAGTAATCACGACCCGGCACAATGATGACAATGCCATATGGCCACCCGTTTTTTGAAGGTGGCTGCATTTCTTCCGCGGCTTGCCTGCTGACCCCAGGGAGCCCCACAGCTTCCGAAAGTTTGTCGAGCAAAGGGGGGAGCTAGCCCGAAAAGCTGATGCTTGGCAATGTTATATTGATTTGCTATGACTGTGAAATTTTAAATGATTGAGATGTTTCTGACTTGATTCAACTTAAAAATTATGTGTTTGCGGCAAGAAGCAGGCATTCATGAAGCTTTCTGGATCCAAGGCTGAGACTGGCCACCTGAAGGCCACCCAGGTGTGGTGCAAAAATACCGTTCAAGGATTTCGAGCACGCGCCCGCAACACATTATTGGGTCAGGAACATTGGCTTTGGCTTGGTGCGATGCCACTTCTTTGGTTTCTTGAGCAACATTTTGCACAAGTGCGAGGCCACTGCCTCTACGCCTTTGGCCTTTGCAGATGGGCTCCCGACCTTTGCCAGCCTGCATGCAAGAGGCACAATAAACAATGTTTTTTGATGTGAAGCTTGACCCACATTCCGCAGGATGGCAACGAAACTAGTACTCAAGCCCTGTTCATCCCTTTTCGGCAGCAGAGCAGGTCTGCAAATGGCAAGGCGATCAGATTCAACGTGGACAATTGTCATTGTCAGCGTGTTTTTCTGTCTCATGGCTTTGAGATTTGCCAGAGTATCGGGCCCAGGATCGTCAAGGGACGTGACATTTGTAAACAAACACAAGCACACATTATTTGGAATTTTCACTGCCCACTTATTTCAAGAATGTAACTTGTATAGTTCATTAAATCATATTGATATTTGAGTCACTCAGGTGCCAAGATGCCCAACAGCACAGACAAAGCGACATGGGCCGTCCCTGTTTTGAATTGGGCGTAGTGTACATACTACTGTATGCAACTGACCATGCGAGACTGTGAAGCAGACTCCGACAAAAAGCCGACATAATATCAAGATGCCATGCTGAAGGATTGTGTGCGCATGTGTTGACAATGAACAGAAACCACTCCAGAATCCGGAACTTTCGTGAACTTTTGGTGTGTGTATTCCCCGGGCAGGGGGGGCGGGACGAACAAAAATCAATTGACTGGAGCATCCGGAGGCAAAGGCTTTCGCTCAGGGAGATGCACTTCAAGCTTTTGAAGAAGAGTTTCAAAGGCAACCGAATGTTGTAAAATGTCATGTGAAATGGTGGTAAAACATGTTCAGGTCAGATGACAGCGATGATGGCGCGCCGCCGCCACGACAAGTCAAGGTCAAGGCCAAGGCCGTGTCCACTCTTGCGCCTTGCACGTCTCATATGTTGCAGCCTGGATTATGCGTTTGACGCGCAGGCAAAAATCAAGCCCAGGCGTGCACATGTAACATCATGGCATCAAATGTCCCGAAAAATACATGTGCTACTCATTTTTCAGGAGGTCGTCAGGATCGTCATCTTCACAACAAAAAGGTCAAAAAATCTTTGTTCAGCGTTGCCCTTAGCCTTAGCGCTGTGGACATTGACAACATGAGACGATGCCAACCTGGCGCCAGTGCTGATGCTAGACATCAACGTCGTGAGGCAAAATTCAAAGAAACAATCTTGACATGGAAGAGGACCGCTGAAATCAATTCATCAATTCAGACAAGTTCATCATTGGAGATTCCGCACACTGTTCCCCGCCTTGTTCAAACAGGAAAACCAACATTGCGGTGCTGAACTCAACTTCAAAAACGTACTTTCCGTTTGTGCAAGAGTTTAGCATGTTGAAATTTGAGTAACACAGCATGTTTGGGCAGCAATACCAATCGTTGCAAATATTGTGCCTGAGGTCCTGTCCAATGTAGATAGGAAATTGCAGTTTGTTTCACAATCTCACCTGGAAGGTACAAGCCTTTCCAATGTCAGGACAGTATTGTATTCTCAACAAAGTTAAATGTCAGAACAATTTAATGCAACAGTTGCGAGGAGTATTTGGAATGACTTGAAGGTTTTGTCAATAAATTTGACCAACCTGTGAGAGTGAGAGGTGTTTGTTACAAACACTAAAGCGTCAGTAGTAACAAGCGCATCGCTGTTAGGAACAGGTGCATCGCTACTAGCAGCTAGAAGCTCCTAGTAACAAGGGCATCGCTGCTCGCATGCCGCTGATGCTGGGGAAACACTTGCGGCTCAATTGTCGGCCCGAGACCAATGAGGGCATCGGAGGAGGAGTCTGGGATGAATTTCAGCCGGGTACAAAGCAAACGCGTTGTGTTCCAATTGAATATATGGCGGTTCCTTTCTATCAACATATTTTATAGAGATTGACCGCATCAACAGCTTTGGAGCCGAAACCATTTGACATCCCGACCGCTTTTTTGTGGAATGATCAGAATCCAGGAGGATGACGGGCCCAGTGGCTTGAGGCAGGTGCACTGCACTTGCCGTCGCCTCAGCGCTACTTTAAAGCTTTGAAGCTATATACAAGGCGGTTTAAAGAATATTTGGCCTTAATGTCCTCGGGACATTGAGAATCTGCCTGACACAAGCAATGCCAGTTGAACATTTTGCAAATGCTGCCTTGCAAGGTGGCGTCGTTTGCAGCCGAGCTGCCTCAATCTCAGGAGAAAGAGGTCTGAGCAGTCTACGTTTTGCTTAGTCAATAGGAGGCAATTGCTTGAACTTGTTCTGTAGACCTTCTACTAGTAACAAAGGGCATCGCTGCTAGGAGCAAGGACGCTACTAGGTTTGCGCATAGCATTTGCAAAACGAACCACCCCACGCCACACGCACACACACACACACATGAGCCGACTGGGTCTAACTGGAAGCCTTTAGAGGTCAAAGCGGCAATGCGGGAGGCTGGGGACTTTCGTGCCACAATGCTCAAGGTAGCAGCATTGTTTTCGATGTGTTTTTTCTAATGTTTTTTCCATCCAATTTGTGGCCAGTTTTCTGCTTTTGGGGCAAAGACTTCAGCATCAGGTTGAAAGAGCAGCCGACAGGGCAGAGAAAACCCAATTGGCTTGGCCCTCAAGCATTTCAAGCTTGATTCCCAGAAAATGACCAGGAACTGCCAAGCTTTTCTAAACTGTGGTATCCTTTTCGCATCCCTTCACCATTGTATAGATCTATAACTCCAGATTGGATTGAAAGAAACTAAGGTGTCTGATCTTTTTTTTTTTTAATGTTTATTACTGTATTGTTTCGATTCAGATCCATGCGGTTCTTCACTTTGGAGTTTGATTCTCCCCCTTCGCAGCTCATTGGTGGCTGTGAGGCACAGATCTCAGAGCGGCTGTTGGAGAACACCCAGGTGCGACGCTTTCTGACCGCGTTCGAAGAGCAGGACAAAGGGGGAACGGAAGTGAACAGTCAATTCTCCCTAGCCCTAGACGGATTGGGATTACGTTTGGTTGGGATTGCGAGCCATTGAGGTTCGTAGACAGCATTAAATATCTGAGTAGAACATGCTTCAAAATGAATTATCTCGATGGGGTCACATGACATGGGGGTCAGATGGCTAACTTGACAGTAAAGTATGGATTCGGTGAACTCAGCCAGCGTGGAGTCCTGAGTAAAGTAACATAAAGTAACCATCGATGAAGTATCAATTTACATAAACCCATAGCCATAGCTGTTCAGGGTGTGTTCGTAATTGGATGAAAGAGTGAACTGTAACTATTTGGAACCGACACTAGCGCACGCCTGCACGCTTTCCCTTCAGGACTGGCCAGATCTTTTGCCATGTGTTGCATCCATAGGGATTCAGGTCCTGCACTCAGCCTGCTCCACGCATCAGGTGCAGGGCGCATCAACAGTTTTGGAGTCTATGACTATATAATTATTTGGTGTGTCAAGAGAAAACACACCATTGTCCGTGGTAGTATATAATATGACTTATAATATAGGAATAAGATGCAGTTGTTTAATGAGTGTTTTTTTCTTCGGACCTTTAGACCGGGTAATAAGTGAAGTCCAAGACCTAACGCTTCTAACGGTCATGTTTATTGTTACTTTCTTCTTTAGATCTTTAGACTTTAGACCTTGTTTTCTTTTCTTTATGTAGTGAAGTCCAAGACCAAAGATGCACTTAGCAGTGTTTTTGATACGTGAAACCGCAGATCCGTAAGCGATCACGGATTGAAACCATGCGATACCGCCAGAGGCCTTGTCAATGCACTATGGCCGTGCTGCGCAACTAAGCCTGAGCTCCCTGCGAACGCTCGCTTGGTTCCAAGTGCCAAGCTAGGAGATGGTTGTGCGAGTGTGATAGCTTGGTTTTGATCCTTCTCTGACTTGCTGTCCTTCTCTTCCGTCCCTTCCCATAAATTCAAATCTCTCAGGCAAAGTGGATCGAGCGTCACAGGCACAGCGGCGACTGGTGTCCAAGCCATGTCATCATTCGATCAACAGATTCTCTTCATATCCAGCAGTTGACACGGCATAGCGGCATACTGTAGTGTTGCCACTGTCACCCATCATTCAAGCTCATTTGAGAAAGACGATTGTGGCAGGGCTTGGCCTAGTAGCCTCGAGATTCTCTCCCGCTACTTGGTTGCGGGCGAAGGGCAAAGGGATGTACAATGTACTGTAAAGAGGAAACTTCATTTTGCAGCATCCCTGCTCCCCCAAGTCAATACCTTGCATTGCTTGCTGCACCCACCCAATCAATCAAAACGTTTGAACAAGATATCAAACAATCGTTTAAAAAGGATGACCTCAGTCAGCATCGGATAGTATTTGCTTCCAAGGAAGTGGTTCGCGGGGGTCCTAGTTTTCACACAACACCATCCTTCACTTAAGCGCAAAATAATGTATTTTGCAGCTGCTCAGGCCAGCGAGTGCGAGGAGCATTTGACTTGAGCCCTGCAGGGGCTTGATGTTGTTAACTTGACAAGCCAGTCACTACGCCAGGAGACAGCCGACTCGGGCTCGCTGCCACAGACAATTGCACAAGCTTGGGAATGTTGGTAATGTTCTTGCACACAAGCAAAGGTTGTGAATATCATTGCATATTATTGCCGTTATTGCTCAACTTGTTTGTCATGAGGATCAAAGCTAGAAGTACACCTTGTGCATTGTGCATATTTGTGCATCGTTCATTACTTTTTCGCTCTGGAATATACTGTAGTCGTGTCAACGTGTTGCTGCCTGGATTTGCCTGGAAAGCCTTTCAAGACCTGTGTGCAGTGTCCTCAGGCGCCATCGGTGATGCCAGATGGCACGGAGCTCGGCCGAGAGATGGAGGTTAGCTTCTTGTTACTAGTAGTAAGGCACCTGTTACTATTAGTAAGGCACTTGTTCCTACTAGCTTCTTGTTACTACTAGTAAGGCACCTGTTACTACTAGTAAGGCACTTGTTCCTACTAGCTTCGTGTTACTACTAGTAAGGCACCTGTTACTACTAGCAAGGCACTTGTTCCTACTAGCTTCTTGTTACTACTAGTAAGGCACCTGTTACTAGTAAGGCACTTGTTCCTACTAGCTTCTTGTTACTACTAGTAAGGCACCTGTTACTACTAGTAAGGCACTTGTTCCTACTAGCTTCTTGTTACTACTAGTAAGGCACCTTTGCTACTACTAGTAAGGCACTTGTTCCTACTAGCTTCTTGTTACTAGTAGTAAGGCACCTGTTACTACTAGTAAGGCACTTGTTCTCACTAGCTTCTTGTTACTAGTAGTAAGGCACCTGTTACTACTAGTAAGGCACTTGTTCCTACTAGCTTCTTGTTGCTAGTAGTAAGGCACCTGTTACTACTAGTAAGGCACTTGTTCCTACTAGCTTCTTGTTACTAGTAGTAAGGCACCTGTTACTACTAGTAAGGCACTTGTTCCTACTAGCTTCTT